TACTGTGATGTTCTGGTCCTAATGTGCATTTCTAACCCACCCTGGGTACACCCCGGGATGGGAACCAGCATCAGCCTTTCTGCACTTGGAAAAGCCCATGAAGGGGCTGGAGGAGCTCTGGGAGCACAGGGTGGGTGTTCAGTGATAAACCTGCTTTGCAAGCAGAACCTCTGCCAGCACAGAAAAGGGCAAAGATTTTGGAAAGGACTTCACACTCAGCTACTGAGCACTCAGCTCCAGGAAAACCCAATTATCTGGGACAGGGGCTCAGAGAGGCAGAACAATCCCTGCCCTTGAAGAGACACAAAAGCTGACTGGATGATGTCCAGAGCGACTGGACCTCACTTTGAAGCTGGCTCTGAAGACTCCCTGAGGCTCCTTTCACCCCCCATTATCCTCTGACTGTAGGACTGCACATCCCTGACACAGCAGGGGAGTCTCAGCTGCACAGGGAACAGCAGGGCTGTTCTGGCCAGGCCTGGAGCACTCCATGGAGCTCAGCTCCCTCCTCAGCTCTCTGGCACGGGGTACCCACACCACAGATCTGTCTGGCTCAGACCTTGAGCTGGTTGTCTTTAGATACAGGAGAACAGCTCCTGTCTTGTCAGCATCCCACAGTCCTGCAGATAAGCCAAAGGGTGCCCCTGGAAAAGCAATCTGCAGGAAAAGTGAAGGGCTGGAGTGAAAGGCTGATTGGCTTGCATTTGGATTTTAGTAAAAATGCAGTTACATCAATGTTTGGCTCTAAAAAAACCCTTTCAGGTCTGAAAGCAGCTCCTTTGAGCCTTGCTGAAGTGGAGTTCTTGGCAGTGGGGTGGAGTCTGCAGGAGAAACACCAGTTCCCACTGACAGACACAGAGAGGATGGGAACTATCCCTCCCTTACACCCTGAGACACCTCAGGATCGGCATCCTGTAAGGAGGGATTTTACACCCTCATCTGGAGATCATCATGGAAAACAAGGGGTTTAGAAAGCCACTTCATAACCAAAAACATCAGAATAAATAAATGTGCAGCAGCTCAGATGTTCTGTGGAAGAGATGAAGTGTCACAGGCTTTTGATGGGATTCCAACTAATTCCACACACAAATCTGGCTCTAAGATCTGTCCTTCCAAGCAGACAGTTACTGAGACCTTCCACCCAACAGATAAATGCACTGACTGACTGCTCTCCTTTTGGCCAAGACCATCTCTGGCCTGCTCTCCCCTGCTGCAAAGCCTGGCTCTCCCTAATAGTGGAGAGAGAGGACCGAGCTGGGGGTTATGGAGTGAAGAATGTTGGGGTTTGCTGCTTGCAAATGTGTTTTGCAGGGACCTGGTCTGAACTGAGATCACTGGATTTTCTTGGACATTTCTAGCCCTGCACCCCCAGACTGCACAGCATCCCAGACAGTTCTGCCAGCAGGGAATTCAGCCCTAAAGTCCTTGTTCAGGGTTCTGTATTCCAGGACTGGCAGGAAAACAGGGAGAAGCAGAGACAGCATCACAAAGTGAAACATCAGAGAGTTCCCTTGGAATAATCCCTTCCATGGAGAGGGGTTTGAGCAGCTGCAGGCTCTTCCAGGTTACACCTTCCAAATACCTGGGATCAGTGAGAAAGGGGCTGAGCTGTTGTTTCCACAGCCTGACTCTGGAAACTACATCCAGTAAGACTTTACAGAGACGGGTTCAGCACTGGACCTGCCCTTGTTCCCCACACAGGCAATAGCAGGGGGTGCTGGCAGCCCAGAGAATCCCCCAGGGCACATTCAGCCATGGCTGGTGTCCTTTAAAACACTCAGTGCATCCTCCAAAACACTGCCTGCATTCCTGTGTTGCTGAAAGCTGCCTGCTGGAAGTGCTAATGTGCTGTTAGACTCTGTGTGATTATTATAGATGATAAACATAATTATTTTGGGTCCTGATTGCCTCTGCTGTCTCCGTTCTGTTGCTGATGTGTAAAGCAATCTCGCTGTTATCAGTTTTATGGGCAGAGTGTGAAGATGCAGATTTACTCCTGAGGGAAGAGCCAAACCTTCCTTCAGGGGAAACGACCCCCCTGAGGCAGAGCTGTGCTGTGACAGACTCCAGCCTCTTGGAACGTGGAGTCTTTAAGATGCACCTGAACACCCTGCCCAGCCACGGTCAGAGAGCCACAGCGACGGGTTTCCTTCTCCAGCTGTAAAACCCCAGCCAGGAGAGCAGCGGTGAGACGGGGTGGTTGGACTGACCTCTGCCCAAGGCAGAGCTGCCAGGCAGAGCTCAGAGAGCTCAGCATTTTAGGCAGCTGAATAAAATCAAGTCTCCTAAAGCAGCACAATGGCCCATTCGACCTGTAGGCACTGTCTGTGGAGCAGGGATCAGGGGAATCCTTTCCCACCACAGCCAGGAGTTAATTGCCTTCAGATAAGGAGCAGCAGATGCCTCAGAGCACAGACCTCTGACTTTTGTTTAAAACGCTGACTAATCCATCATCCAAAAGAGTGCAGTTGCTTCCCAGCCATGGGAACAAAGAGACAACACTGCTAAGCCCAATGGGGAAAATGTCATTGTCCCTCATACAAGAGGGTAAGAGACAGCAAGCACATGCTGTGACACCTGTAGGGACCTGCATGGGATAAATAACCAATGGAAGGCCCACTCCTTGTGTTCTGCCATCTTCCCTCTACAGTCATATTGTCCTGTTTGTAGCCTTGGACTGTGAACTTCCTTTCATAGAATCCCTGCCACATCCTGAGAGCAATGGAACTGGCAAAGTCTGGACAGCCTGCAAGGCACTGGAAACTTTCCTGCCAGTGCAGGAGGAGGGGGACTACAGGGAGAAGGCTGAGGGGCAGAAGGAATAGTGGGATTGGCAATTGAGGCTCACCAGGCAGCCCTGCTTCCCTCCACACTAACCCCATCATGACCTGGCTCCACAGAGACAGACACTGCCTGGGCCGGAGCGATCTGGAAAACAACCCCTTCTTTAAGTTCTATTATTAAATAAATAAATCAATCCAGCTATCACGAGGTGGCCGAGGGAAGGCTTAGAGAAGCCAGAAAGGCTCCAGTGAGAGCAGGTAACCAGAGCTGTGTTTACCACAGAGCAGAGACAAGGCTGCTCACACGGGCGGCTGCGGCCCCACAAACATCCCCTCTGGCCTGGGGTGGCTGTGCAGAGCAGTTACACGTACGGGCAGGGCGACGCCGAGCCCTGGCTGCTGAACAATCAACTTTTATTCTCTCCAGACCAGCAAAGCCAAGATTTCAGTAAACATGCAACCCCAAAAATGCGCCTGCGGATCGGGTAGAGCAGGGCCTGTGCTCTCCCTGCCAGACTACAAAGCCCTGCTCCGGCGGGTGGTTTCACGGTGAGGTTTCTGTGGGGAGGAAGTGTTTCCAGTGGTCAAGGCAGGGAACGGGGGTTCAGGAGACCTGGATCCCATCCCTGGCTCTGGGAATCAGGAAAGCTCTGACTGCAGGCAATGCACACACTTGCAGGAGTCACTATCCCTCTGCCCATCCCTCCTTGCTCAGGCACAAACTCTTGCTGTCGGAGGAGCGGGGAGGCACAGGCTGGTAACACTCCCTGACCTTGCAGGGGGATTGCAGTGCTGTGTGATTGATGCCTGAAAGGCTGTCAGAGCATTCTGGATGAAAATCTCTCTGGAAGGTATTGGCAGACGTGCACATACGGGTGCAGACACGAGAGAGAGACAGACATGCAGCTCACACACCCTCTGCTCCCTCCGTGCCTGCAAACCCCCACCCAGCCTCGCTACTCGTGTGCTTAAATATTTACAGGTTGGCTCTGCAGAAAACCTGGGGTTTAAAGCAGAGCAGCCAACACTCAGCTGAACAGCTGCCCTCACAAACCCAACCCGCTGCTCTGGCTGCCCAGACTCAGCCCCAGCTCTGCATTTTACTCACCAAACCAGGCCAGTGTGAAGCCAGACTGAGCCCCTGGCAGACACAGCCCAGCCCTGCTCACTCCTGGGCTGCAACCAGTGACCTCCCCTGGCCCTTGGCATTGTTCCCTCTTCGTTTCATCCTCCATGTCATTAACATGCTGCTTACCCCCTCTTTCAGCTCATTAATGAAGACACTGAAGAAGGCTGGACCTAACCCTGATCCCTGTGGGCATGCCTTGGGATAAACACCTCCTTGAGCAGCTCCCATCACCTCTTCCATAGGAAGGACCTTGTCTGGGGGTGTGCAGAGCTGTTAGAGCAGTTCCTCTGCAGTGAGCCCCATGGGGAGAACCCACCAACTGCACCAACAGTTTCTGTAACAAAATAGAAAAGGAAGCAGGAAGGAACATCACACTCTCACAGGATGGCTCTGGTTTGAGCAGCCTTGCTGGGTTTGGCTGTTTACAGTGTTTTAGCCAACTCCTGGGTTCACTTCCTGTCCTAAATGGATCTATTAACTTTTCTACATGTTCTCTTACCTTGTTGGCTGTGTTTCAGAAATAGGTGGCAGGAGTCAATCACAGAGGACCAGTTTAAAATGTTGTAAGATACTTCCCTCAAGTGGAGGGAATAAAAATCACTCAACTGTGTGTCACAGGCTCTGTGTGTACCTCAGATAGGAGGAAGATAATGAGGGATGGACACCTATGTGAGGTAGAACCTACCAACCTGTTTGAAAGGTGTTAGGAGCATAGAAAAACTACCAGGGATAGTGCAGAATACAGTTTCCCACTCTCCAGACCTCGGGGCACACGGGGAACCCTTTGTGGCAGATCCCAAAGGGGCCTGTGGTCTGACAGCCTGGCAAGTACCACAGGGACAGCTCCTGTATATCCATGCCCAGGTGTTGGGAACAGCTTGAGTGCAAGCTGAGATGAGTGACAAGTGCTCCTACACAGCATTTCAGCAGAGATGGAAGAGAAGATGCTGAGAAGCAGCTGGAGGGGTGAAATACCTGAGTCCTGCAGAACAAAGCTTCTCTGCCTCCCAGAGCAGGGACAGACAGGAGGGGAGAGCCAGGCCCAGCTGAGTGTGCTGGCAGAGCTGGGGGGTGGGATCTGCACTCACCCCGAGGCTCATGTCTCATCTCCTGATCACTGTTTTCCTCAAAGCAGGCAATGAAACACGAACAAAGAACTCCGATTTCACTGTAGTTTTTCAGTTGTGGAGATGGCAGCCCAGCTCCAGCCTCTTTCCTGTGCTCCAAGCAGGAGAACGCTTCATCTCCTGCAAATGGGAAGGGATAAGAGGGGCTTAGCACGAGGCAGGATTTGTCTCTGTAACTGATCAGTCCAACAAAGGGACACACAACCCGTTTATTACTGGAAATTAATTGTGCCATCAAGGCAGATGCCTGCAATTACTTCTGTTAAATATTATCTTTCATTAACTGGAAAATATATAATTAATAAACTTGCCCCCTCATTTTTGTTGAGTTTCACTGCAAGGACCTTATTACTGAAATGAATCTCTCCAGCAGCACATGTCGACAGAACAGAGGAAGGTGCACGCCTCTCTGGGATATGGAATTATGAGGGAGGAATAATCACCTCTCTTCGTGGCCAGGACTGTAGAGACACCCCACTCTGACACCAGTTGTTTAAGCTCGTGCTGCTTGGAAGCAGGCATGAAGAATCTGCTTTGGCTGGCAAGGATGGCTCAGTCTGAACGCAGCCGGGCTCATCTTTCACTGGGAAGTCTGGAGAAACAAAAAATAAATTGCATTTTTTGATTTACAGTCCATTAAAGGAGTTTTCTGACTATAAAGCTGCTCAGAACGACCTCGGTGGTTGGGCTGGTTCTTTTATAGGCCCCGTGTTCCCCCACCTCCCATTGCTGGGCTGGAGCTGCGTGACTGATTCGCTTTCCACGAACATCCCGACTGTTTGGATTCGGGGAGGTTTGGCGATGGCTGTTAAACCATCCCAATTAGAAATGCTTCAAAAACATTGCTGAAATTTGACTCCAAGCATAAAATTCCCCTTAGACTTTGTCTCCACTTGTGATCTTTACCTCAAGTTAGTTGATTGCCAGGATCAACCAAGGTAATTAAAATATTTCCAAAGGCTGTTCCGGGCAACACTTTCTGCCTCGCTGCAAGCGACAAATGTTCGTGGTTTGCCTGAGGCTGATGCTCAGTCCTGCCTGAGCTGGCAGGGGCAGCACGGGTGCCAAGCACGGAGGAAAGGCTGCTCCATCACCATCCTCCCCACAGGGGAAGGGGGCACAGGGACACAGGGATCAGTGGTGGAAGGGAGGAGTTACAGCACAGAGATACAACAGGACATAAAGAAGCACACAGGAGGAGAAGAGGCTGGATGAATTTTAAGGGAACCCCATGGATGGCCCCTGGCAGAGCCAACAGGTTGCAGAGACATTCACCCCCAGCCTGGCAGCTTCAGTGCAGAGGAGCTCACAGAAACACATAATCACTGCATCAGAGGTTGGAAAAGACCTCTAAGATCACCAAGTCCAACCATCTGCCCAGTACCACCACCATGGTCATCACTAAACCATGTTCTAAAGTGCCATTTCCACACATTTTCTGAACAATTCCAGGGATGGTGACTGCACCACTTCCCTGGGCAGCCCCCTTCCAATGCCTGACCACCCTTTCAGTGAAGAAATTTCTCCTAATATCTGATGTAAACCTTCCCCTGCCGAAACTTTCCCTCCAAGGCCCTGGTTTGGTCCCATTTTGGGCTATTTCACAGCATCATTGAGGTTGGAAAAGGCCTCCAAGGTCACTGAATCCACCCTGTGCCCCATCCCCACCTTGTCCCCCAGCCCAGAGCACTCAGTGCCACGTCCAGTCATTCCTTGGACACCTCCAGGGGTGGGGACTCCACCACCTCCCTGGGCAGCCCCTTCCAATGCCTGACAGCCCTTTCCATGAGGAAATTCCTCCTGATGTCCAACCTGAACCTCCCCTGGCACAGCCTGAGGCCATGTTGTCTCATCCTAAGTAGGGAAGGAGAAGGGTTCTCACCTTACCCAGTGTGCAGAGCTTTTGGCAATGAGATGAGCTTGGAGAGGGAGAGGGTGCCAGTTCCTGGCCATCCACTACCACTTTGTCATCCCATTTTGCAGTTGAAAAGGGCTCTGTGGGTCATGTGTGTCAGAAATGCACAACCCCTGACTCAGAGCAGGTCCTTTCTCAAAAAACTGAACTACAGAACCTCACCCTGCTGCAGCCCGGAGTCCAAAGAAAGGGCTCCCTTCTCCCCATCATTTAACTACCACTTAAAAATGGTGTTGGACAAATGTTAAAACAGCCAACGAATTTGATTACACAAAAATTTTAGAGTCAGCAAATTATCTAGTGAAATGATGCATGTAGAAATGTTAATTCAAAAACAACTGAAACCTTCCACAGTTCTTACCATCTAAAGATGATGGTTCTCAGCAAAGAAAAGAGGGGTCTGAGCATACTGTCCTTGCTGAAGAAATTATAGGAATATTCTAGCTCTCACCTACACTGTACCATACATGCAGTGACATAAATAGCAGGGGCTGAGGGTGAGTTTAGAAGTGGGTTTGGGATGGAAGCTCTGAAATCATATTATACAGCTCTTTGCCCTGGGTTTGCTCTTGGAGAGAGGCTCATATATCAGCCCATTCCCACCACGTGCCTCTGTGCAGCATCTTTCTGTGCAAAAGTCTAATTTTACTGTAGAAAAGCCTCAGGACACTCCCCTGTGTGCTGGGCATGCTCCTGCCCTCAGCACCAAGGAACCCCCTGGTGCACACGCGCCAACTTCCAGGCGCTGTGTCATCCCTCAGGATCCCCGCTGGCTCAGGCCAGGAACGCTGGAGAGGGAAAATGCAAGAGTTAAACAACTTAACTCTCTGGCTGTCGGGCAGCAGGAGGGGGAGGGAGCAGGGAGGCAAAGCATCTGGCTTCCCTGCTTCCCTAACAGCCTGGCGGGAAGGCTGCTGTCAATTCCGCCTTCTGCCTTGTTGGAAGAAAGTAGAAGTGACAAGAGGCCCTCCAGGCAGGCAGCCAGGAACCAGAAATTCAATTGAGCCACCTTCTAAAACTGGACTTCTTTTGGAGACCCTTTCCCTGAAATTGTTTTGACTTAAAAAAAAAAGACTGTCATCGCGGTTCAGGGCCAATTCATCACCCCTGGTCTCCTGGCTCCGCTCCCTCCGCCAGAGCAGGATTTGCACAAAAGGATTTCAATTTTCTGGACTGCTCTGCAACCAGCCTCCCCCACAATAAATACACAGACACATAAATATGCGCACACACACACACACACACAAACAGTGTTATTTATAGGTGCAGGCATTGCCACAGACAGAAGCACACACGGGTGTGTTCCTTTGCTGGATAACGTGAGGGCTGGAAGTGCTAAAGCAGCTGAATTTGCTCCACATTCGCAGCTCAGGAAGCAGAGTGTGGGCCATACGGTCTGTCCCCAGGGCTTAGACCAACTGGTTATTGGCTGGTGCTGTTGTTCCTCTAACAAGCCCCTGGAAATATCGCTGGGGCTGCAGAGAAATGCAGCTGGAAGAGCCTTTCCCTGTCAGCAGCAATCTGTCACTCCGGGATCGCACCCGCCTCGTGCAGCACAACAGCTCCTGAGCTGCGTGTCAGAGTTAGCACAAAGGTCAGTCTGCAGGTAGGCTGGGGGGGTCCTTTATTCCTGGGAATGTGCAGCCAGCTTGAGGCACCGTCTGGATGCTGCAGCAGGAATTCCAGCCTCACATATGCCTGGCTATAATTTCAAACGAGGGAGCATTTCCATTACAAACCCCATTTTTTTCCCCGTGGATTTATACCTCAGCTATTGGGCTCTACTTAGGGGTGGACCTTCTTGACAGGCAGGGAGAAACTATTTTTCCTGTCCAACGTTTAAACCCAGCTCAGCCTCTTTTGGTTGTGAGATGGAGAGGGAAATTACGTATGCACACAAACACTCCCAGGCACACACAAAAAGCTCACACAAACACATGCCCACAGAGAGATCTCCTACAAAAAAACCCAGACAAGCCAATGCAAATAAGCCCGATTTTAAGAGTTGAATTAATTTGACTCTATTATTCTAAATTATTAACAAGTTCCAGCAACCTTAGAACACAATAACCACACTTTCATCTGGGTTAAGTGGAAACAGAGAACGTGCACCGATATAGATGGTATCAGTACAAATCTGTGACAGCGAAGTTGGAGGCAGAAACCTGAGCCCCTCTCCCTGCAGCAGTGTGTTAACAACCCCTGGATGGTTCCCCCCCCTGGAATATTCCAGTGCAATGAATCACCCTCCAGCAGCGCCAGAACCCCCCTATTTTCCTGGCTGCCAGGTGAAACCTGACCTGCCCAGCACTGCACTCTGTTTATGACTTGCTCTGCCTTACCGAGCCCATTTTGGTGGGTTTTTTTAACTCGCTATCGATTCTGCTTTGATGTAGTCCAATAAAGCACATTGACAGAAGCAATTTATGTTGGCCAGTGTCTCCAGTTCCAGGAAAGCCTTCCTGGCATATGAAGACAGGTTAATCACCTGGCAAGTACCAGAGACACCCAGTTATCCCCGTTTACCAGCCTCATTCAATCCATGTCCGTGACTGAGATGAGGAACAACCTCCTGTTTCTCCCACTCCCAAGCAGAAATGGGTATGATTCTCTCTATGATCACTTCCCAACACCCCACAGAAACACTGGGAAATGTGACAAGGATTTTCCCAGTCTTCAGTGGAAAATTCTGCAAGTGGTCACTGAAAGGAATTGAGCATTTCCTCACTCCTGATGGCACAGAAACCAATCCTATGGCATCAGCATCCTGGTACCAGCAGGGCTCAAGCATCTGGAAATTATAAGATGCTCCTATTCCCATCTGCTGCACAGGTGCGTAAATGCAAATTTTGTGTCACAAAAATCTTGATTAGGCAGCTAGGAATACTGTGGATTTATCCCATCAGCTGGAGCTCCCCACGACACACTCTGTTCCCTCTTTCTTTCTTGGTTTCACACCCAGACCTTCCCCCTAAGGCTGGGGAAGCACTAAGAGTATCATTCAGGGAAGGTGTTTAGTAGCTGCTTAGGTGGCTCCTTGGTGCAACCTAATAGTTTCCTTGCCTCTTGCTAAGAGAGGGCAGAGGAGGAGAGCTGGGAGCTGCAGGGATTGGAACACTGAGCCAAATTTAGCCACAGGGCAGTTTAAAGTTCCTGTTGCATTTTTCATCTAAGTACAGCAAATCCCCCCACTAAGCAGCAGCCCAGGTGGCCACAGCTCCTGGAATGCTAACTGGGTGAGCAGCAGGTATTGGAGAGGGCGTGCAGCCAGGGATAGCAGGGAGCAGCTGGACAGGGACAGTGTCCTCCCAGGCAGGCAATGCCACCTGTCAGCAGCACCCGGAGCCGGGTGGCTCCAGAGGCATCCGGCCATGCTGGATTCTCATCCATCCGAAGCTTCCTGCAGTCACCAAGCACTGATAGAGTTTCACTCCTCACCAGCTGGAGCCCCGGGAACAGGAACTCTCTCCAGAGGAGCCCAGGAGCTCCTCCACAGGGTAGGAGGATGAGGGGTGGATCAGAGAGGCTGCACTGTGAGTGACACATCAGAGAGGGCCATCGGGCTCCTCCTGTGCCAAGGGGAGCCGTGGGTGGTGAAAATGCAGCTCAGCACCTACCAAAGGAAAAGGATATAAAGAAAACGTGGCCTTAAACCCCACCTGGATGTGCTGCCTCCA